ATGTAATAACTGTCCAGAATTCTACATCGGAGAAACAGGAAGAAAATTGGAAACCAGATTCACAGAACACAATAGAAAACCATCCTATGTTTTCCACCATTGCAACTCAAAAAACCATAGTATATCTATTAAAAACACAGTACTAACAAACCCAACAACAGAACATTACACTGCAGTTTACCTTTTGTTCCTGAAACCAGCTCAAGATTTAATCACACTTGGACAAAACTAGCCATTAAACACAATATTCCTGTCAATGTCCAGGAATCCATCTTAATTGAACAAAACAACCCTACTCCAAACCAACACCCTGGGGTGCCAATACCTCTTCTAAGTCTTGCAACAGTATCTGGTCATGTGACCTCTTTGTTCAATACTGTGTGTGTGTGTATATATATATATATATATATATATGTGTGTGTGTGTGTCAGTAGTAAATTACTTGTACCTGATGATGACAAAACCTTGTCAAAACGTTTTACATTTGCTGTTATGTCAAACTTATATTAAAGTTTTTCTTCCTTACCCATTCAAGGCATCTCCAAGCATTATCACATACTGGCAAGTTCCCACAGTGATCTTGGAAATTTATGTCTACATACTGTGGAGGGTCTGTAGAAAGTTTGTTGTGATATATGGTCTGAGATTGACCTTATTATACTCCACTGAAGTTTGTTAGAATGGAAACTGCAATGGTAGATAGTATTGTAAAATCATAGCCATCAGAGTAAGCATGATCGATAGTGGAGAAAATATTTCGAAGGGTACCATGAGACCTAATTATTATTCTCATAAATTGTAATTAACCTCAGAATGTTTGGCTTACTGGGTCTTTTCTTTATGTAAGTGACCACCTTTGCATGAAAATTAAGGGACATTTTGTTTTGTGTGTGTTGTTATTTTTAAACTATGTTAAATCATTTAGATTAAATTTCTCTACTTACATTTCTGCTGTTTTCCCATTTACTAAGTGTACAAGACAGAAGACACTCTCTTTATTTATATCAGTGACATTTTGTGATGAGAATAAGTAGACAAATTAAATATTTTTTAAGTAATATGGTTGATTAAAACAAATATATTGACTAGCTGAGATTGTACTGAATAAATATTGTTGCTTCTTAGGACCTGAGACTTTACAGTTGTAAATTCAGCTCTAAACTTTATAGTATCGCTGTTTAAGTACATACATAAAATTCTATCCTTTTTAATTATCTTTTCTTAATTTTAATAATAGTATATTATTCTGGTTATATGTCTTTCTGATTTCTGTGTTGATAAATAATATTGTATTGCTTTTCTCCCAAAGTTTTAAAGAGATGCACCTGTAAGTTGAAAAGAAAAGCTTATTTTTTAGTCATATCCTGTGGAACAAAATTTATTAATTTTCTTATTAAATGAAGAGTGTTGTATCAAGAAGAGTTTTATGTATTATGCTGGTAGCCATTGTGAACCATTTATTGGAGGTGATGAACTCATCTGCTAAGAAAATTTTGTAATTTAAATCACATAAGTTGTTATTGAAGATATACTACTAGATGTACTTCTGCAGGGTCCCCCAAAGTGTTCTGTTTCAAGAGTAAGTAAAAACCAAAGTTAAGAGTAACAAATGTATATATTTCTTCTCATGAATCATGGCGTGTGCATGTTTTACTGATGACACGATAGTACATATTGCAGCATTAAGTGTCATTTATGTGGCATCATTTTAGTGTCTCCTGATTGACTGACTGACAGACAACACGCTACTATATAGTGATACAAGTGGTTAGAAAAAGTGACCCCTCCAGGTGGCCTTCGACCCTCTTTTGGGGAAATTATTGTATTTTACACTATTCTTTACTTTCACTCAGAAGTTCTTATAAATACATAAAATACAGTTGTTCAAATTTCAGAAGAAACATTGTAGATGTTTTGTGATTTATTATATAATAGACTTAATAAGAACATCTAGCCTTTAGTGGCATTAATTATAAGTCTAATTGTAACAAGGCTAGACAACAATATAGTTTAAAAACTGGTGCATGTAACTTTTAATCCTGCCACTGTTCTTACTTCATTGTTAATGTAGACCCATTTGATTGCTGTGGAATTTTCAAATGTGGATATATTTGGAAGCAGACTGTTTTCTATGAACTTGTAGTAATAGGAAAAAAATAGATAATTTAAAATGTGAGAAGGGTTTATACTGAGCAAGTATCAATAAAAGTTTAACCATTTTCCCCACATTTTTTTAATGACAATAAATAGTACACCTGCAGTAGATCCTAACAAAAGATCATTTTAATACTTTACCATCGATTAAAATTAACTTTTGTGTCTCAGACTGTTTTTTTCTTCAGTAATTAAGAAAAGTTTGTTTCTTAAAATAATTTCATAATCTGTTTTTATACAGGACCAAACGCTAGATGTTTTAAGGCGCTTTGCAATTGGCTTGGTTGCAGGAATATTGGCATCAACCATTAATATTCCATTTGATGTTGCAAAAAGTCGAATACAAGGACCTCAGCCAGTACTTGGTGAAGTGAAGTACAGAAAATGCTTTGCAAGTATTAAAACTGTGTATATGGAAGAAGGGTATGTACACTTCAGAAAAATAATACTTTTTGAGATATAAGTTGTAATGAAAAGATGAGAGTAACTGAACTCTGAAGAGTAATAAACAACTTTGCACTTAGAATGTGTTTAAAATTATAGGTGGGATTATGGGGGGGGGGGCAGAGCAGTTACCTCTCACCTTTTTTTTTCTGTGGGAGATATTGTACACATAATATTTACAGTAATTAAGTCAAACTTTTTCTCCCCACCTACATTTTGGTCCCAAATCCCACCTATAGTTTTAATATTTACATAACTATGTTTCAACTCATAGGCTAAAAAAATACTCGGAGAACTGTTGTATATTCTCACCTGAATACAAGAAAACTGCAGAAGTACTTCTTATCAAAAGTATAAAACCTTCACTAAACAAACAACTAGGAACTAGAGATGTCATGATTAATTTGGCTCCAAAGAGAAAACAGTCCTCATCATAATTTTCAATATTATTTATTCATAAAAAAGAACACAATCTAATGTCATGTATGAGACCTGTTTGTAAATTTTTTGCTTGCTAGTTTACTGTTTAAAGTTGAATCATGTAAACATTGTTTAACTAATTGAGTACAACGTGATGATGATGTACTCCTTTGGACTGAAATGTTGAGTTGTTTATTTTTCATCATTTATGTACTGAGTGTGATCCTCACTGTATAGTCATAGTTAACCCAACGTTGTTTAGTTACATAGAAACTCGTGTTAGTGTAAAAAAAGATAATGAACACAAATAATAAATGTTTTTAAACTGATTTGTCTGAGATGTTGGTCTGATCCTTTTGAGAATAGAAGAATGTATCTCATCCAAGAAAACATCTGTAACATAAAGATATTGTGACACATATGCAATTGTAAAGTGAGTCTTTTGGACCCAGTTTGTAATTCAACATAAAGCATAATCCATAACAGAAAAGGTCAATGAAAATAAACTTTCAAACTCAAGTTTCAAATTACTAATATAAAATCTTACATGCTATTATATTCTTTATAAACATCCTTTTTTTATTTGTGTTTTATGCAAGTATTAGTTAAAATATTAGTAATCCATGAAATACCTGCATAATACTATTTTGCTTCTTTAGAACAAAAAAAAAACAACAACATTATTTAAAGGTTTTACTTTAATCACTGTATATTTAGCTTTTTGTTGTTAAAATGTATTTAAAAAATGTTTATATAAGTTATATAGAAGTTTGTATGTAGAATATGCAATGTTATAAGAAGGGTTTGTTGTTATTATATGTATGTACATAACATGATTTATAAGTGCCGTATATTTATTCAGAGTTAGATGTGTGCAAGTTATACTATATCTGGTTACTATGGTTGTCTTCATTCAACTATAAGAGCCAAGAATTTTATAATATAAATTTGTTTTCACAGATTTTTTGCATTATACAAAGGACTGTTACCTAAAGTGTTAAGGCTTGGGCCAGGTGAGTTCAAAATACTGTTCAGTATGTGTAACTATTAATTAGAAGTTTTAAAAGATTTGGAATAAATGTTGTGAAATCCAGTTGGTCTGATTTGCAGTCAACTGAAACTAGTATGACTGGATTTGTTCCAGTAAAACTTAATGAAGTATTTATACTGTCAGAAATGGTTAACTTTTCTTCAGAAATCTTTACTCATGGGAACAAGTAAAGGAATATTTCAATTATCAAACTGTTTACAGACATCATTAAACAGCAACAATATTTATTAGAACATTTACCAACATCAAAGAATAGCTACAACAGTTATCAGAGTATTTACTGACATAACAGAATAGCTATAATAATTACCAGAGTATTTACCAACATCACAGAATAGCTACAACAGTTATTGGAGTGTTTACTGACATAACAGAATAGCTATAATAATTACCAGAGTATTTACCAACATCACAGAATAGCTACAACAGTTATTGGAGACATTGCAGAATAACTACAATAGTTAGAGTATTTACTGACATCGCAGAATAACTACAATAGTTATCAAAGTATTTACTGACATCGCAGAATAACTACAACAGTTATCAGAGTATTTACTGACATTGCAGAATAACTACAATAATTAGAGTATTTACTGACATCGCAGAATAACTACAATAGTTATCAGAGTATTTACTGACGTTGCAGAATAACTACAATAGTTATTAGGGCACTAACTGATGTCACAAAATAGCTTCAATGTTACTATAGTTTTTAGAGCATTTATTGATATCACTAAGTAACTACAGTAGTTATCAGAGTATTTACTGACATCACTGAGCATCTAAAATGTGATTTATACAGTGTCTTAGAAGAGAGTTAAGATTGCTTTTCTCTAATGGTTAATTAACAAGGGAATGTTAACTGGTTCTGCATTAAGGTTTCAATAGCTGACAGTTTTGTTGAAAATTTCCTAAGATGTGGGTGAAACTATCAAGAAATATAAAAATTAGTTAGACAGAAAACTTCTCTAACAATGATCATTAATTGCCAGAATTGATGGCTAGGACAGAAGTTCTACAGGCAGAAAAATTATAAAGTTTAGTGTATATTATGTATATATTTAGAACTTATGTGTTAAAAATTACTTGTGTATTAATAAATTAATGATCTTTGCATCTTCCAGGTGGAGCGGTGATGTTACTTGTGTATGAGCATGTGTATGAGTTTCTGCAGAAGAAATTTGGACCATGACCAGTTGTGGTGCAATGGACAGAATATTTCACTTTATGCCAATTAAACTGGTCTTATATCCGCCCAACAGTATTGAATATTTGCTCAGTTTTCTATACAAGCAACTACTGACAATGTTATATACCAAAGAAAATTATATTTACTGCTACACATTAGTTTTTATTTTAGTAAATAATTATCAATTAACTACTGTTCAAATAGTTAAATAATGCTATTTTTACAATAAAATTTGTGCTTTTTTTGTTATAGTGTAAATTTTTTTTGAAAATTGCAAGTTTTTTATATAAAGGTTTTGTTGATTATGGAATAGTTTTATTTTAATCCTCATATTACACCTACTTGTTTTATTTTTAAATGTCTTGTTATAAAGTATACAGAGAATGTTAAAAAAGATTATTTGAGTATTAATTATTTTGTTTGAATTTTTATAGTTTTCTGAGTGACAATTCACAGATTTTTAAACCACTGTAGTATATAATTAATACTTGAATCCGTTGGTACTGTGAAACTCCATAGTAATTACGGTAATTACGACCATAATTATGGTCATTATTACTATTTTATTTTACTGAAAATACAGATAAATTTAAAAGGCTGAGAAATAGTGATATTGTAAGAGAAAAAGACAACAAGGCCTCACGTTGAGACGTACAGTTAATTTACTATATTGTAAACGAGAAGCACATCTAAGAAGTTAATTTTCGTTGATTAGTTGTAAAGTGCTAATCGTAATATATATGTTTTATCTTTCATGTAGTTTGTTTCTGGGTATTAAAGATTTTGAATTTTGTAGTTGTACTGTATATTACCATACAATTGATTTCCTGCATAATATCACCACTTATTTCCATTTAACCATGCTGTCATGTTAGATTAATAATTTTTGTAATGTTGTTTAGAATCTACACAAAAATTAGTAATCTCATTGGTTGTGATAGAATTAATTTAACTTGCATGAAATAAATTACTAATAAAAATACAAAAATTACTATAAGTAATAGGATGTCTTTTCTACAGAGATGTTACTAGATGGCGTTATAAACGCTTGGTTTAATGACGTTAACGTCATTAACTTGGCAGGGCATGTCTGTTTTTTTTTTCTCGAAAGATGTGATTAGTACATGTGGCTGGCACTTGTTAAAAGTAATTCTTTAAGTAGCAGCTAGGGGTATTTTAAACGCGTTTACCCCTAATTATCTCTGAGAAGAACCTGTTAGGACATTCATATGCCATTGAAATTAACAGAAACTAGTTAGTAAGCTTGCACAACTTGAATCGTAAAGTTAAAATAGTAATTTTACACCATTAAATGCTGGTTATTGATTTCACTCAGAACAATATCATTTAGTTTTTACACCCGCACTTACTTACCAGTAACGGACATGATTTAGTTTTAACGAAAATGTAAATTCAATGGAACGAGACGTGTGAGTGTGTTTGTGTTTATAACTAATATTTGTGGAAAATAGATAGGATAGTATCATAATGATTAAACATTTTCTCGTGATATATAGATATAAGCTCAACCATTTTATGACATAGTATATCACTATATATAATCGTATAGTTTCTCAGAATTTTAGTACGGGTTGATCGTATTTAGTTACAAGTTCTATATAAACAAAATGTGTCCAATTGAAACTACGATAATCTTGCTTTAAGAACTGTCCCTTCATTTGAAGGCATGCCGCAGGCCTTCTCTGTCTTTACAATTGTCAAGCTGTATAGTTCGTTCGAATGGTATCGGCGAATTGTATGGCATGTGAAGAGATAGAGAAGTCAGAAACCTTGGTTTTCATTTTCTGTTAATAGGGTTACCTGCGTGATATGGTGCCCCGGAAAGTTTGATAGAACTTAGGATTGAACAAAGTTAGATGGTTTTCACATTTCATTTATCTGCTAATTTTCTACAGTAAGCTGATGGAGAAATGCGACCTGAAAGATAAAGAAATCCTTTGTACACGGATAAATTCACGTGCTATATTTATATTAAGTCAAAGGTTATTTCCATCTATCAAACATATTGTATCAGTCTCTCATTTCTTGGCCTATACAGATATTTGGTTCCCATTTTAAATCTTATCGAACCTCCTGTCGTTGTGATTTGAGTAACTTATTAGGTACGTTTATAATATTACCTACATGTTTCATCTAATGAATTAACAAGAGTATGAAAATACCACATCAGTTTGATTGTGGGAAGAGTTTAAAATTATCGTGATGATTTGGATCTTGATATTACGTACAGAAGTGGAGTAATTAATTTATATGAAGAGGATCTGGCGTACACAGTATTTAATTGAGTAAAGCAGTCAGTTACATGGATATAGATACAACTATGTAAACAATACATACCATTAAAATAAGAATATTTACAGTGTTTTAGAGTTGGAATGCTGTCTCTAAATAGGTATTACTTTTGCAACTAGGTATTAATGCTACAGCTGGCACTGTTTATTCAATTGTTACAGAAATCGAATAAGTATGTTCTATTTGTTAATAACCCGAACAGACCTAACGTGTTGGCTGTTGCTTTTTGTACAGTAACATGGCATTCAGATCTGAGTAAAGTTGAATGTCCAGTGTTTTAATATGGAAATACGATTACAAACCGTTTAACGACTACGTACAAAGGACCGTCGGTTAATGTGCAGCAAAATGCATACAACACAAGATAGTACGGAAAGTTGAATGTTCTGACGACAAATTAACTAAAGATATAATCATCTTATTTTCACTGGGGCATAACCTGGAAGGGAACCTTTGGTTTATGGTTGATTTTGGAAGTTTAAAAATCCTAAAATGAGGTTGTTTCACCCATTGTAATTCTCCACGAGTGCTGCTTCGTTCAGTACAGTTAAACTTTGGTGTTAAATATCGCATGTAAAGAAACGTTATCACCTATAAGTGAAACTTATTATCAGTTAAGAAACATTCCTTTCATGCACTCCAACGTGAAGATCGTCATCAGATATGGAATATTTCTGTGGTATGTGTGTACGTCAATTTTATCATATATGCAATCTTTGTTTGACACGTAAAGTTTTTCCAGTTCTGGAACGCTTCTGTGTAATATTGGTGCGCAACGTTTTTCATCAGTTCTGGAACATTTATTGTGGTATGTTAGTATCTAAAGGTTTTCAGATTTATGGAACATTTCTGTGGTATGTTGGTGTCTAAAGGTTTTCAGGTTTATGGAACATTTCTGTGGTATGTTGGTGTCTAAAGGTTTTCACAATTGTGGAACCTTTCTTTAGTTTCAATTTTATAATGATACGTG